AAAACAAATTATGTTTCTTTTTGTGGTCATGCTTTCCCTTTGCATGCTAAGGTTTTTAAAACAATTTTCCTAGTAAGAACCTCCTCATTGGGTATTTTTATTTTCAGTTTTACAGTGAAAAGAAAAACTCGCAGCTTTCGCACCAACTCACACTTGCTGTTTTATAAGAAGACTGTGGCACCCTCCTCTGCCACTGGGATTTGAAAGCGCTCACAACACTTCACCTTTATGCTGGGCTAAACTCAGGGTAGCCATAAACACTTTGAAGTAATACAAACCTAAATATTCCTGCTAGGCAAACTGAGCAGTGGAACTGAATTATAATGAGCCAGCAGCTGTCACAATACGACCACAGTAACCAAATCAAAATATCAACCACTAACCCAGATGAGATTCAAAGGTCATCCTCTAAGCCAACAGCTTTCTTCAGTTCTGCCTGCAACCTCAATCAGATCCTGCAGTAAAATGTTCTACTGAGCTAGTTCAAAAACTGGTTACTGTATGGTCATGAATTATTTAGTGCACTGGTAAAGTCCCATTAGTCAGACTAGAACAAAATACCACAGTAAGGAAACTGAACCACTCACAATGGGACATGTGAAAACACAGCAGCTGATGTTGAACTAAGCTGCACCCAACTGTACAGAAGTATCACTTTTCACATCCTTCAGTTACCAACCCTTGTATACAATCTTACTGGGCAACTTGCATACTTATCCTCAAACAATCTGGTTTTCAGTAAGACTCTGGAACAATAGAAGGAAAAAGCATGCTTAGATACTTCCTCAGTTCAAAGAGTTTTAGCTAGAAAATAGATTGTCTAACATTATAAAAATATTTGGACAATTATCTGCAAAAGTTTAACACTTGGCAAAGAAAAAAAAAAAACAGAAATGTTAAAAAAGAAATCCATACTCTTTGCATATAGTTCTTGCCAGGATTTTCAAAATATTCCATAGCATATAGACAATCCTCTTAAAAATACAAGACTTAGACCCTGCCCTCTTTGTGCTATTAGCATATTCTGAAAGCTGCAAACTGGTCACCTGTAAAGATTTAATCAAGCTGTTAACAACTGCAAAGAACCAGTTTCCGACAGAGTGAGTGTACATTATCACTGATAATCATGGGTAGTCACAAGGAAGAAGTGACTTGTTTTCTCCAGATACAAAACACGACATGGAATTTCAACTAAAGGAAAATGCAAACTGGCTTATGTATACCCAAGGAAAACAAGGAGTAAATACTCAGTAAATGGCAGGAAAGAGAATGCAAGAAATGGTCAATACAGGCAGTCAGTTGGATGACTCAATACTTTAATCTTTCAACTCCTTCAGAACTCCCTACACCCAATAAATAAATAAATAAAAGCCATTCACACCGATTTATTTAAAAAATCAAGTTTAGGGGCTGGCTCTTTTATTTGTCTTATGTTCTTTTTAAAAGGATTTATACAGTATCAACTTTCAAAAATTCTGTGTGGCAACTATAACTCCAGACTGCAATTCAAAGTGTAAAGCCACCTTATAAACCAAGAAGTGCTATTAATTCTTCCAACAATATGTGCCTGTGTGTGTATACACATGCATACAAGGTGTGTGTGTGTGTGTTCTTTTTCATTTTTTAATTTAGGGATTCACAAGCAATTTAGTAGTATATATTTTCAGATATACAAGCTTATTTTCTAAAAAAATAATTTAAAGGAGACATTATTTCTCTTACAAATTATATCCAATTTTGTATAAATAGAGAATGAAATAGAGACACAATAAATTGGTACTGTAGTCCAGTGCCAAATACAGGTATTATATCAGAAAAACTGTATAACATTTACGTAAAATCATTCATGTGAACTCTGAAAGTTCAGAGATGTAATAAAAGGGTTTGTTACTATAATAAGAGTTTGTATGAGGAAATACGTTAGCAATGCCTGTATCATTTCCTCAAAATAGTATACTGCTATAAAGAACAAAATATACAGTAATAATTCACTCCCCAAAGGAAAGTGGTTCAGTACTTTTTTCTTTCCTCACAATAAAATAAAATCTCACTAAGTGAACAGTTTACTAAAAAAAAAAAGAAGAAAAAAAAGTCAGGTCATCTGCAGTTAATAACTCTTTCCTGTAAAATTAGTGTCACTTATTTCTGTGGCAGACGCCTAATTCAGTCACAGGCTTGACTGATTTGACAATAGAGAATCTGGTCCCATAAAGTGGCTGATTTATTTCTGATGCTATAGCTTTTACCATAATATGACATCAGGGCAGAAAAAGTCTTTGAAAGGCAAAGAAATCCTTTGTACTTTTAATGAGAACCAGTTAAGGATCCTGAGAATGGATGACTGTTGCCAAAAACTTACAGTAAAGTCTAGTATCTTCTTCTGGTAGAGGGAAAACTTCCACAATGGTCATAACATAGAATATGGGTTTGGACAGAAAGAACAGTTTAAATGTAGCATATATTCCACTAGTTCAAATTCCTGGCTATACTAATAGATTTATTCCATTTTGTCTTTGTCTCCATTTATAAACTAACATTATCCTTAATTTTTTGAAAACAACGTATCTTTTCTTTGTAAAGATGCAAACCTAACACCAACATGGCTCATCTTAAAAATGGTTTCATTTTAAATAAACAGCAGCTTGGGCAAAATCAGTGAGAATCTTTGTTCCCTGAATCTAGCCCTCAATCAAGAAGGCGGCTGGGATGTGAGAAATTACAGCAGTGGGAAGAGTTTTTAATACAGCATCATCGTCAGTTCTCAAAAAATATCTTTTAAAAATTCTTCTCTATACTAGAAGTGTGAGGTATTTCAGACTTATTTAAATGTCTTTTTCGCCTTTTTTTCCTTTTTTGTATACTGCGCCATGCCCTCGCACTCTCAGGGCGACTTCCCTGACCTGAGTCTGACACCGCACCGTTAATGTCAGATAAACCATTTAGCCCAAGCACAATTCTTTTCTGTGCAAAAATCTGCTTGAGGTGGAAAATGTAGCAGTTTGTAAACAATAAAGAGCCATGTTTCAGACCAGACAGCTTATCAAACAGAGAAGTCCTTTCACTGGAAACAGTGGGTGGGAGCCTCGTGGACATAGTAGCATTTCCTATCACAATGCAGGAGACTGTCTTGGCCTCCATATTTAAGAGTTTAATGGGAAGGAGGGCAGTCAGGACAAAAGAGCCAGGCTGACATGGATTTTCAGCTTAAACAACAACCAAGTGAAAGGAGTCAGCTCTCGGCACTCTAGACTCTCAGTCCGCTTATATTTTAAATACTATTTGAATTGAAAAAAGTTATTTGGTTTGTAAAACACTCGCCAATGAGGAAACATGAACAACTACTTAATATGTTTGTATTGCTGTAATATTTAATTTATCAAGTTGCCCTCTAGAGTAAGACTTGTTTTCTCACATATTAACACAAACCTCTAAAACTGAGTAGCAATGTATTTATTCTATTTTACTTACATCAGCTCCTCAGAGGATAGTGTTAGAATCTTCTAAGTTCTTCAACATACCCCTTAGGTGCTAATTCTCAAGACTACTATTTTCAAAATGTTTTCTATTTTATGAAGTTGGAAGAGGATGAACAGAAAAGCAATGGTGTTAGAATTAAAGTAATTACTACTGTCACTGAAGAGTCTAAAGTGCTCTTTAAAATCTAGGTTGACAAACATATCTAGTTATCTGTATTTGGATACCCTGAAAACGGAAAACTTGCTGCCCTACCCTATCAACAACTGAGAGAGAATTTGGGTTCTTGTTTTACTTACGTTAAAACTACGTAATTTACCATTTTAAAGTCAAAAAGAGCACAAATAGAAGAACAACCCATGACCATACACAACTTCCTGATTCTTAGAGTTGGGATGACAATAAAAGGCACAATTATATGATGTTATCCATTAAAACTAAATTGATAATATTTCCCTGCTTCGACTATTTTGTTTTAAACATCTGAAATTCCTTTAAATGGATTTCCTGTTTACTTAAAAATAAAAGACTGAGCTTCAAGGGCAGCTACATCTTAAATAATTGGTATAGCTTCCATAGCTTGAAAATCAGGGCATTCTTTAGAAGCATTTGCAATTATGGTTTCCGAATGATGTAATTATGGCTGCATGTTTTCCATGGAGTCCAATAGCTTGTGCCAAGACATTTAACTTCGTTTATTGACAGATTTGCGATAGAATTTGGCCAGGTTGAGAAATTTACTAATATTGTTAAAAACACACATTTAGTAGAGCAAAGATCATTTTTTTATCACAAATAGAGTAACTAGCTATTGGGACCATTTAAATTATTATGAATTACCTTTTCATTCTTGGGTTGCTGCTGTTAAATATCCCTGTAGGGTAGTCAAAAGCATAAAAATATGCTAAGGGCACCCATATGAAGGGCGTGCTGGAAACTTGCAGAGTGCCTCAAACTACATGTAAGTGAAGCAGGATAGTGTCTGCCTAGATCATCAGTGCTGCGGTTCACGCCGTGATCAATACACAGTGATATTTTACAATTCAACTGGAACACATGACTCTGATTTAAGCATACTAAGCCCATTAATACATTTTCATAACTTCTTCAATAAAAACTCAGAGCTAATACTGACTATATATTATAGCCAATTGACAAGACTAAAATGATATCTTTATTTTAAGCATTCACCACTTTGACTTCACCAATTTTAGCTTAGAAAACTATGACTGCAATGTTGAAACTGGAACGAGTGGTTTATGTCTAAGAAAGGTAAAATTTCCATGTAGATTCAGTATCATTCAAAGTATTTAATTCTACACAGTTGTAAAACTTAGTCCTTTTATGTGCTCTTACCAAGCATGGCCTGGCAGTATTTTTCTGCAATTTAAAAACACTATAGTACAATGTCAAAAGAACCAACATCCTAAAACAAGAACCTTTAACTTTGTCTGAGGCATCTACTTTTCCTTCCACAGTAAAACATAAGCCTTCAAAGGTACATGTTAATTTAAAATCAATCTTACTTTGTATTCTGGAATTGACAAAAGGTGGAGAGAGATTGTCGTGTGACCCAAGGTCCCTGCTGGTCATGTGATCATAAGGAGTCCCATCTCCATAGTTCTGTAAATGGAAGAACAGAGTAAGTTTTCATTTCACGTTAATAACTCAGCATGCAAACATACCCCTACTATGAATTCTCTCCCACCCAAATCTGGAGTCCATCATTCCTGCACTGGAAACCCACTATAAAGAACCTATGTCTTCACAGGTATAGAGAGAAAGAGGTCTCCAGAGTCTGCAAAGTTTAAATTTTCCTTATAATAGCAATGAAATCTTGGGAATGATAATAATAGTACCAACTTCATGAAGTTTGTGATATGATTAAATGAAACAATGCATATAAAGTATCAGATGCATGTAAAGTATTTTACAAATATGCAAAGTTATTATTTTTGTATGATCTCACTTACATGAAATAGGCAAATGTATAGAGACCAAATTTTATTAGTGGCTACCACAGATGGCGGGAAGTGGATAAGAGGGAGTCTTACCGTTAATGGCACTGAGTTTCTGTTAATAATGGTGAAATAATTTGGAAACGGATAGTGGTGATGGTTGCACAACATATCACTGAATTGTATATGCAGAAAATATTGGATTGGCAAATGTTTTGTTATATATATTTTTACCACAATAAAAAAATTATTTTGATAAGTCAACTTTATTTTTAAAAATGTAGAAGTGTGCTATAAAGAAAAATTGCCCATAGCCTGTAATGAATCTCTTCTGAAAAACCAAAGCACAGTCATTTAAACAACATTTGGTTTTATGATATTAAAATTTCAATGTTTTGGTATAGCTACCGCCGTGGGTTGCAAAAGAATTAACTGAATTATTCCATAAGTAATTGATACATGAGAATATTATGAATATTCCAATATAACTACAAAAGAATATCAAAACTTTAGTTGGCATAAATTAGTATGTCTAATTTTGAACAAACTATGCCACAAAAAACAGTTTTAAGGCAGACATTAATTTTTGGCAGAATTTTTTCATTATTAGGATTATCTCATCACTTTAATGGGAACTTAAAATTAAAGCAATACTTTAAAGCTGTCTCGTCACTTAGTTTGAATGGAGGAATTTGGTTAATACATAGGAAAGACTTAAAATCACCGTTATTATATGGTACAAATTTCAGTCTACTAAGATGCATAAAAATGACCAAAAAAAAGTCATTCTGCTCAGCTGGTTGCAATGCCCATAAAGTCTAAGTCAAATTTACTTAGCGGTGTCAGTTGGCATATTAGCCAAAGGGCAGAATCTGCCCACACACAGACAAAAAAATTTGGATACTGTATGAACAATGAAAACGCATGTCACCTCACTAGAGGATGACTGGAACCTTACAGACAAACAACCTCACTTTCCCCCAAACAACCCCAACCTTTCCTCATTTATAAAAACATGAATGAGAGCACTATCTGCCAATACGTTGACACAAAAATATGCCACATTTTAAATACACTATGTGTTTTACACTCGGCCATTCTATACCAGGCATTGCACAACATTGATCATTATTTATTAAGTATCTTTATTCAAGATACTGTACTAAAAGTGTAATATTCATTAGCTAATTTAACCCTCAGCCACAAGGTAGATGGCATACCATTTTACAAATGAGGAAAGAAAGACAGCAAAGTTGTCCAAGTACCTGTCTACCACAAATAATCTGTCCCAAACGAACTCCCTAGATTTAGAAAATATAATTTATAATGTATTCATTCAAAATGATTCACCAAGCTATTTCTTAAGAGGAACAGTTAATGAAAACTACATTTAAAAATCCAGGATGATTCTAAATGGACCTTGTTCTAAGGAACACAACTATAACTACTATGACTGTATCTGACTGAGACATCCTAAGAAATTAAGTAAATCTGAATGAACTAACAATAAAGAGAAGTTCTGTCATCTCCTACACTTGCTGTCAAGAGGAATGGATTTATTTCTGCAAGTGCAGACTGTAACATGAGGAGGAGGAAAGATATCCTCAAACCATCCATATAATGCATTAGAATGTCAAACTCGACAGCTGGTGCAAGGGCTCAACAACGTTACTGGTAAGCTTAGAGACTCTGCTGTACACTGCAGACTGGAGTGAGGATCACAATGCCAAAGGACAGGTGGAAATGTATAACCACGACTTGCTGAAATGTTCTCCTTCTGACAGCCCGATTACTTTTCCTGCCTCTTATGCCAAAATAGAGACCTCTCCCCACCGCAAATTAATGTGAATCCTCAGAGTAAAATGTTACCATCCCTGCAGAACGATTCATCCAGATCGCAGCAGTCTACTTTTAATTTGGGGCATTAGATGTATATAATGAAAGCTGACATGGATTTTGGAAGGTCTAGAAATGGTTCCGTGAAAGACATGTTATATATAAAATCATACATATTTAAGTTGGAAGGAACATGAAAGATCCTCTGCTTCTACTTCTTCGTTTTACAAATTAAGAAAATGAGGACCAAAGAGGTGAAATGACATGCCAAGGTCATGTAACTAAAACACATATTGCCTACTCCTTCCCCTCACCCCAGACTCCCATGGTCTTCTCATTACACTCAAACTAACAACCAATGCATGGAAGAAAACCATGAAAAAGAAGAGCAAAACTCTGAAACCAAATAACTGGATAAACCCAACTGGTGCCCAAAGGCCCGAGTGGTGGGAAAATAAAGTATTTACGAAACGAAATCAACTCAAAGATTCATTATGTAGAGTGTATGGTAAGACAGAATCTCATACTATAAAATTTTTCAATAGCTTATTATCACCAATACGTTACAGGGAGATTAGATTTTTTTAAAGTCACGTCATCTACAAGAAAAAAAAACTTTCCATAATACTGGATCAATAACTGGCAAAGGTAAAGCCAAATATTTAATGAAGGATTTTATCTCCCGGTTAGCAGAAGTGGAACAGGTGTCAAATTCAATAACAGCATCAGATAAGAGAATGAAACAAAGATTCCAAAGACAAGCTGATTTTAATTTAAACGTAGTATGCATGCATTTCTGTGCCGCGCGCGCGCACGTGTGTGTGTGTGAAACTCACATGCAGTTTGTCAATTTACACATGTGGGATGTCTGGTTATGGGAAAAAAGATTAGATATACTTACCCTGGACGGGCTTGGATGTCCTCCATTCCCCCAGGACCCTGAGCTACTTCTGTCTTCTACATCTAGGGACAAAAGAAAAGTTCTTTAGGCTTTCTTCCAATAATTCTCTCTTTTTTGTATACGCACTTTTAAATTACTGTTTCAAATTAATCTCCTGTTGCCTTTAATTAAGAATCAGGCACAAGACTACCACGATGATAGTGGCTTCTGACCCATCTACTTAAATTAACTCATTTAAATTCACAGCAGAAATGAACTGGACCCTCAGGAACCACAGGTATGAAAATAAAAATTACTTCCATCCTTCAGTGTTTCATAGCCTCAATTTTCATAGACATGAAACTGCACTTAAAAGTTTTATTAAAAAATCTTTGGACAAAATAAGCTTAAAAATATACCAATACAACCTTAGTATCAAAAAAAATATTAAAGTAAATACACATACTAACACTAGCAGCATCCTTGCCATAAAGCTTAGGTACTTTTTCTTCTCTAGCCAAGGCTTATCACACCACACAACAGACATGCAAGAGAAAATACGAGACAAAAAAGTATTCAACAGTCTATTTCCACCAGTACCTTTCAGGAATATTAGGATTATTTTGGGTTGTACCATCTACAGTATTGTTCTGCATATATGTGTATATGTGTGTGTAGATATAATACACATACATATATACACATATACATAAATACAAACACATACTTGTATTTTTTAATTTTTATTATTATTAGTTTTTTTTTTTAACAAGACATACCACTTGGCCTACAATCCCTAATCTGCACTTCAAGGTCTGGAAATAAAACTTATTAAATTACAAAGCCAAGCTTTATTTTGATAAATGATGCTGAGAAGACCTACATGAACCACTAGAAAGACGGGATGCTTCTAAACTCCGTACCAGCCAAGTTCCAACGCTGAGCACGTTACTAAAAGCTAAAAGCTAAGTAAGTGCCTCGAGTGACAAATACTCAGGATGAAGACTGTAACAGCTAAGTTGCCATATTAATTGCTTAAAACACTGAAGTGTTTTAAAGATCAGTCACTCTATATTTAGGGATGGCACTGAGATTTTTGATGAAAGGCCCTTTATAAGTATAAAAGTTTCACTGTTCTATTATTTTGATCACGGCTGATAACAGACGGCCATCAAAACCTTCCTCTGACAGAAACGGAGGAGGAGGTGTGAAGCTTCGGTTCAGGAGACATAATCCCATTGATTGTGTTTCCTAACATTTCAGTGATACTGTTTATTCTCTTAATGCACTACTGTCATTCCTTTCATTACTGCTATTTTATTACCAGCAGAAGTAATCATCGTAGTATAATTAACTGATTTATTTTTGGGCACAGTGGAGTACATGGTGTTTTAGATATCTCAGGAGATAGAATAGCAACAACAACAAAAAGCAACTATTGCCATTAAACTTGATTTTTTTTTTTTTTTTTAATTTTAACAAACAATAGTTTAGTTCCTTCTAGTTGCTACTACAGAAGATAATCCAACCACAAACAGATGTTCCCTATGGACAATTAAAATCAATACACTGGCTTTCTGCTTCCAGGTCAAAGTCATGGCGGTGGCAAATTCAAGCCCTGTCAACCCCGTGGTGTTTTTTGGTATCAGCATTGGCGGCCAGGAAGTTGGCCGCATGAAGATCGAGCTCTTTGCAGACGTCGTGCCTAGAACAGCCGAGAACTTTAGGCAGTTCTGCACAGGAGAATTCAGGAAAGATGCGGTACCAATAGGATACAAAAGGAGCACCTTCTACAGGGCCATAAAGGATTTCATGATCCAGGGTGGAGATTTTGTTAATGGAGCTGGCACTGGAGTCGCCAGTATTTACCAAGGACCATTTGCAGACGAAAATTTTAAACTAAGACACTCAGCACCAGGCCTGCTTTCCATGGCAAACAGTGGTCCCAGTACACATGGCTGGCGGTTCTTCATCACCTGTTCTACGTGTGATTGGCTGGACGGGAAGCATGTGGTGGTTGGAAAAATCACTGATGCTTCTAGTGATGAGAAAAATCAAGAATGTTCCCACTGGTCCCAACAATAAGCCCAAGCTGCCTGTGGTGATCTCACAGCATGGGGAGATGCAGCCCAGACCAAGACTGAATCAGGGTTATTGTAAGGATCAAAAGAGAAACGCACCTGAGAGCACTTTGTTTTTCTACCATTTTGTAATTTACAAAGCGTCGACCTGAAGACCACTCTGGCAGTTTGACAGCAGTCTCAACCATAGTTCCATTCAGTGGTCCCACTAGGAAGATCTGGCTCGAGCTTTGGGTGACTCCCTGCTAGGACCAGCCTGGGCAGCCAGGAGACTGATACACCCATCACGCCTCTTATCAGAACTAATGATGTAATCCCAGACCCTGATTTTGTATTTGCCAACCTCACAGGTGAATGTCACATATTTCTCAGCCCATATGGACTCACTTCCCAACCATACTTGCCTCTGCCTGCTATGTGGTAGGCATGCTAAGTAGGCATGGAGCAGGGAGGGGGAAAGAACTGAAAGATGTCTCAACCTTTCAGGAGCTTGTGGGGAATAAGATGCATTCTCTGAGGTGATCACTAGTAATAAGAGTGACATTGCTAATTGTTATAGGAGTTTAGGGGAGAAATTGATCACTCTCATCTAGGTGAGGAGTGTTGGTGTTTGGTTTTTCTTTTCTTTCTTTTTTTTTAGCTTTCAAACCCACAGAAAACTTGGGAGACTAGTATACTGAACACCCAAATACCTTTCACCTAGCTTCACCAATTATTAACTTCTTGTGTTATTATTTTCCTTGACATTTATTTTTCTTTCCTTCATACCTTCTCCCTCTTCCTCCCTCCCTCCCTTCCTCTCCTTTCCTTCCTTCCTTCCTCATTTGAAAGTTGAAGACTTCTTGACACTTCATCCCTAAATACTTCAGCAAGCAACTTCTAAAAATAAGAATATCCTTATTTTACAATATTATCATCTAGTATATAGTACATGTTCAAATTTGCCTTTGCTCCCCAAATAACTTTTATAGCTTTTAAGAAAAAAACAAACAAACATGATCCAATCAAGATTTATATATTTAATTTGGTTGTTTATTTTTTAATTACACAATATAATACAATCTCACTGTGAAAATTTTCACACAGAACAGATAAAGGGAAGTCCCCTTGGCAACATCCCACTCTTCTCCCCAGAGGTAAACTTCTCTATCAGTTTCATAAATGTCCTTCAGGACCTTTTCTTTGTCTATCTAGTTCTGGAAGTTTTGTTTTATGTAAATGATATTACATTGTATTCATCTTTTTTTTCCCCTCCATTTGGCATTATGTCTTAAACGCTTTTCCTTCTCAGTTCATATAAAACTACCTTGTATTTTTTTAACTGCTATATAATATTCCATAAGGTATTTCTATCATACAGTTTTTTTGTAGTTTATTTTACCTTTTGATTGTTGGTTCTTTATTATTACAAACAACGTTACAGTAAAATAAACTTGCTTCTTTTTGTAAATATGCAAATGTATCTATAGAAGTAGAATTACTGGGTCAAAGGGTATATGCATTTTTCATTTTAATAACTACTTTTAAATTGTACTTCTAAGGGTGATACCAGTTCATTTTCCCATGTGAAAGTATTATTTCCTCTTGATGTTATCAATATAATATGCTAGTATAATTATATCAATATAAAATGTATGAGCAAAAAAAATTTTTTTAGCCATTCAGGTAAAAAATGGCATTGATTGTTGTAATTTATAATATCCTGATTTCTAAGAAGGTTGAGCATATTTGCATATGTTTATTGGCCATGCTGTCTATATCGTTTGCTCATTTTTCTTTTCAGGTGCTAGATTTTTTTCTTAATGGTTTGAAGTAGTTATGAGTACTAATTCATTATTTTATATGTTGTGACTGTTTTCTCCAGAATATAATTTAAGAAAAATTGGCAATATGTTGCTTATCTTAACTTTGGTGATATCCTTTGTCAGACAAGTTTTAAATTCTGAAGAGGTCCAAATTACCAGTCTTTTATGGCTTTTATATTTTATCTCATTTAAGAATGTTGTTACTACCTCAAAAAAAAAAAAAAAATCAATCCACTGTGAGCTTTAAGTCACGTCAAGGAAGTTCTGGGGAGTACATCAAGGCTGTCTGGACAGAAGATGTAATCCTCTTCCAGAATCTGCTGTTAAACCACCTAACGGCCTACCCTGTGTACACCTAACTGAAGGCCACTGAGAAGTTACTAAGGATGCTCACACAAATGAGATGTGTAGCCTACGCGGTTCTACTTCTCCTTAACCAAAAATGAAATATTTTAATTAAAAAGAAGTATAAATAGAAAAATCTCTCAACTACCCCAAGTTTTCAGAAGTCTGACACAGCTTGATTTTTTTTCACCTGAAGCCTATCAGTTTGGATTAATTTGAAAGGTTTCTCATTACATCGGGCCAAAAGTCATTAAGGAACAGATTAGAAGGCCTGTAGTTACCCTAAGACTTAATACTGTTGAGACTCATTTTTCCTTTTCAGTGTTAAAACAGGATTTTTCAACATGAAAAGTAAGAGAGACAAGGAGGAAAGGCCAGAGGTTCTCATCCAGAAAGATTCTGGCCCCATGGGACATTCCACAATGTCTGAAGACATTTTTGGGGAGTGCTATACATGGGGTCATCATGAGTCGGAGTCAACTCAAGGGCAACTGGATTTTTTTTTTTTTTTTTTTTTTTTGGTATTGACATTGAGTTGGTAGAGGACAGGGATGCTGTTAAACATACTACAACACATAGGGACAGCTCCCACAACAAAAATTTATCCAGGCCCAAATGTCAACGGTGCTGAGGGTGAAAAACCATGTGCTATAGGGAAAATTGTATTAAAGAGCAAAAAGGAAGAACTGAGTTGGAGAAAAAAATGTACTGAAATTTGATTTATAATTTAGCAAGAACTCTTACTAAATACAGTGTCTTATACATTTTAACCCAGGCTTGAGCTAGAATGTTTTAAGAGACCTTCATGTACATCTTCTGTCTACAGAATAAAGAGAAAACTGATGATCAACT